AAGCCTGCAGGGGAGAGAAACAACGCTGAGGAACTGCAGAGCTGCTCCAAGTGCTGCTGCTGGAGACTGGCAGCTGAAGCAGGAGAATCCTCTCCAGCAGGGAACCTCTCCACACACATGCTAAGGATTGATGAGGAAATAGAGTGTTTTTAGGAGCTCCAATGTTTGTCTCCCCAGTGAATGAAATGTTAACACAACTTGTCCCATAGCACCACCCCCTGAGCAGCCAGAGGAGCTGGCAGAGGTTGCTCAGGGCCCTTCCAAGGGCACCTCACCCACCCTGGCTGAGGACTCACCAATTGTGGCTTTATCTGTCTCAATTTCGGCCAGTAAGTCTCCCTCATTCAGCTTCTCCCCGACCTTCTTCTCCCACCTCTGCACTGTGCCCATTGTCATGGTGGGTGACAGAGCAGGGAGGGTGATCTGGGGAGGCACAGAACACAACACAGTCACCTCCTGCTCACCCAGAAGGCTCCGGAACACAGGTGAACTCCTGGGAAATGATGCCAACCTAAAGAAGCAGCTTTAATGCACTCCTAGGTGTGGCTCCATGACAGCCAAGCAGAGCTGTCCCACTGTGCTGCTCTGGCTTCTTTGAGCAAGGCCTGAGCAGGAGAGCAAGCAAGAGCAGAGGGCAAGAAATGGATAAATCAAAATAATCATCACTGCCATCACCCTGCAAGGCTAAGGAAGGCTGCAGCAAGTCACTTTGTTACTGTGACACACCAGGAGCAAAAACTGGTCAGAGGAGGCAAGCAGAGGGAAGAAAGCAACTTTAGTAGCCAAAACACAAATTTAGAAGCCATTCATTAATTCTTTTATTACTGACTTCGAGTAACATCTCAGACAAATCAGTTCCCACATGCTTCCTCTGTGGGATGGGGTTCAATATTCCAGAGTTTCTTTTTCAAAGGGGTGTCAAAGCAATCCCCTGTACAAAGTGCTCAAATCCATCAGTGGATACACTTCAAAACCTAAGCAGAGCAAAAAGGTTATACCCACAAACACAATTCATTATTAGTCACCCACAGACACATCTGGTGTGGTCACCAGGGCACCAGAGACTGGAGCTCTGCTCTGAGGTATGAGCAGAGCTTACTCACACTAAGCACAAGGTCTTTTTATACCACAACTGTCCAAATAATGCAGATTTGGCACATTTTTCAAGACAACAACCCTGGGGGGACAAGCCTCTCCTCCACCAGCAGCTGTGATGCTGAAATGAATTTATTAAAAAAGCTTTCTGCAATGTCCCCCGACACACTGTTGTGTGCTCTAAGCACACAACAACTGAGGTGCACAGTTAATAAATTCCCATTCCAGACAGTTTTTATGGCAAAATGCCCCACAGGTAGCAATGCCAGGGGCAGAAAAAGCGTGCAAGATGCCTTAAAGCAGGAGCAGTGCTCTCTTACCTGCATGTGAGGAGGGTAAGAGCTGCCAGGGGCCTGAGGAGAAGGCTGAGGTGGTGGGGAGGGGGCTGCAGCTGGAGGGGGAGGCACTGAGGCTGCGGGGGCAGCAGCTGCTGCAGAATCCAGGGTGTAATTTTTGAAGGCATCAATATGTTCAGGCCTAGAAGAACACACAGAGCCCCAAAACCCATCAGGTGATGGCCTCAGTCTTTCACTCAAGGCACCCCAGAAGCCCCAAGAGGGAAAATTCACATCAAGGGTCAGGAAAATACATACTTTTCTACTGTGATGCATATTATGGCCCCAATAGGAACATCCCTTGTTCCTTCAGGCACCAGGATCTTGGCCAGGTAACATTCCTCCAGGCTTTCAAAGCCAACTGTAGCTTTGTCTGTCTCCACCTTTGAGAGAGAAGAGGAAATGGTGAGCCCAGAGCTTCCCAGTTTGCTGCAGGGTCACAGCTCTGGAAAAATCACCCTGAGGCAGCAGCTGTAGGGAAGTTTGCCCTCAAACCAACTCAGAGAGGCTGACAGCCACTCCTTCCCACCAGCATCGCTTGGGATCTGGGATCCAAAAACTGTCTTCAGCCAGGGACAGCCCCCAGGCCACACGTGCAGCTCAAGGGAGACCAGCCCAGCCCCATCCCCAGGATACCTCTGCTATGAGATCCCCTTCATCGATCTTGTCCCCCTCCTTCTTCTCCCAGCGTGAGATGGTGCCCATCTGCATCGTGGGGGACAGCGCTGGCAGGGCCACCTGTGAGGGACAGAGCAGTGTCACAGCCCAGACAGATCCAGCAGCAGGAAGCACACACGGGACAGAGACAAATCCTCAGCTCAGCGTGGGATGTGGGGGCACAGATCTGCTGCAAATCCCCAGCACTGCCCCACGCTGCTGGGGAAGAACCCTGGCAAACCCACACTGGGTGCTGAGGGCAGAGGCTGTGCTTGCCCCATCCCTGGAAGTGTTCAAGGTCAGCCTGGGTGGGGCTTGGAACAACGTGAGATGGTGGAAGGTGTCCCTGCACATGGCTTTAAGGGCCATTCCAACCCCTTAACACTCTGTAATTCTAATCAGGAAAAGGTTACAGAGAGCCAGGGCTGGGCCTGGGTCTGCTAAGGACCAGCAGCACTGCTGGGATAAAGGATAAAGCCACTCAGGGGCTTGAGCCTAAGTGGTGCCAAAGACATAAAAATCACCGATTTTCTCCCAGTTTGGGTAGCCAAGCGTTGGAATAGGTTTTACCCAGGGAGGTGGCGGAGTGCCCATCCCCGGGGGCGTCTAAGAGCCGTGCGGGTGGGGGGCTGGCTTGATCGTCCTACAGGAATTCTCCAGCCTCGATGATCTCAATCCCCGGAGCAAACTGAGCCGCACGGGGAGGGGACTGAAAACGCGGAGGGGGAAAGAGAAGGGGCAGGGATGGGAAAGAGAAGGGGCAGGACGGGGGGAAGAGAAAGGGCAAGGAGGGAGAAAGCAAAGGGCAGAATGGGGAAAGCAAGGGGCAGGACTGGGGAAAGTGAAGGGCCAGGATTGGGGAAAAGAAGGGGCAGGATGGGGGGAAGAGAAGGGGCAGGACTGGGGAAAGTGAAGGGCCAGGATTGGGGAAAAGAAGGGGCAGGACTGGGGAAAGGGAAGGGGCAGGATGGGGGGAAGAGAAAGGGCATGAAGGGGGGAAGAGAAGGGGCAGGGAGGGGGGAAGAGAAGGGCAGGACTGGGGAAAGCAAAGGGGCAGGGAGGGAGAAAGCAAGAGGCAGAATGTAGGGAAGAGAAAGGGCATGAAGGGGGAAAGAGAAGGGGCAGGGAGGGGGGAAGAGAAGAGGCAGGATTGGGGAAAGAGAAGGGCAGGACTGGGGAAAGAGAAGGGGCAGGATTGGGGAAAGAGAAGGGGCAGGATTGGGGAAAGCAAGGGGCAGGGAGGGGGAAAGAAGGGGCAGGGAGGGAGAAAGAAGGGGCAGGACTGGGGAAAGCAAAGGGGCAGGGAGGGAGAAAGCAAGGGGCAGAATGGAGGGAAGAGAAAGGGCATGAAGGGGGAAAGAGAAGGGGCAGGGAGGGGGGAAGAGAAGGGGCAGGATTGGGGAAAGGGAAGGGGCAGGACTGAGGGAGCAAGGGGGCGGATTGGGGAAAGCAAGGGGCAGGGAGGGGGAAAGAAGGGGCAGGGAGGGGGAAAGAAGGGGCAGGACTGGGGAAAGCAAGGGGCAGCGCGGGGGCACGGGGGACAGCCCGGAGCCCGGGGGTGACCCTCACCTTCTGGTGCGCCGGGAGGCTGCAGCAGCGGCGCGGGACGAGCCGGGGCCAGGCGGGCGGCGGCAGCAACGGGCGAGGCGCGGGGCCGCCCCAGACCGGGCCGCGCCGGGCCGGGCCAGCCCCGGCCCCGACCCCGGCCCCGAGCGCTCGGCGGGGCCGCACCGGGCCGGGCGGCCGGGCCGCGCCCCGGGACACGCGTCGCGCCAACACCCGCCACATGCTGGGGCCGGGCTGCAGCGGGCTGGAGCCGGGCTGGGCCGGGCGGACCGGGGCCGGCGGCGCTCGGTGACCTCCGTGCGGGCGGCGCGGCGCGACACTGGGGCGGCCGTAAAGCGGCGGCGGGCGGGAGCGAGCGCGCCTCAGGCACCGCCTCAGCGCCGCCTCAGCACCGCCCGCACCGAGCGCGGCTCGGCGTGAGGGGAGCAGGGCACCGGGGGCTCTGAACGGGGAAACCGGCATGAAAACCGGGCACCGGGGGCTGTGCATAGGGAAAACCGGCATGAAAACCGGGCACCGGGGGGTTCTGAACAGGGAAAACCGGCATGAAAACCGGGCACCGGGGGGCTCTGAACAGGGAAAACCGGCATGAAAACCGGGCACCGGGGGGCTCTGAACGGGAAAACCGGCATGAAAACCGGACACCGGGGGGTTCTGAACGGGGAAACCGGCATGAAAACCGGACACCGGGGGGTTCTGAACGGGAAAACCGGCATGAAAACCGGGCACCGGGGGGCTCTGAACGGGGAAACCGGCATGAAAACCGGGCACCTGGGGCTGTGCATAGGGAAAACCGGCAGGAAAACCGGGCACCGGGGGGCTCTGAACGGGGAAACCGGCATGAAAACCGGGCACCGGGGGCTGTGCATAGGGAAAACCGGCATGAAAACCGGGTACCGGGGGGCTCTGAACGGGTAAACCGGGCACCGGGGGTTCTGAACGGGGAAACCGGCATGAAAACCGGGCACCGAGGGATTCTGAACGGGGAAAACCGGCAGGAAAATCGGGCACCTGGGGTCTGTACAGGGAAAACTGGGCACCTTCTCTGCACAGCTCCCCAGCAGGAAAACCAGGAAAACCGGGCACTTTCCTATGCTTGTTAACTTGATCTTGTAGCAAAATCTCTGGAGTAAAGAGTTAAAACTCATTTAAAGGTGACACTTTTTGCTTTTATAGGGGAGAAACCTCCCAAAGCAAACTGCTGTTCTGGATAGCAGAGGACATGATGCTGGCCAACAACAGACCTGAAAAAACTTCATAATTTGCTCCATGAAACTCCGGCCTGGGTGCGTGGCTGTTGCTGAAATAAAACCCATGAGTAAAACCCAAAGAATGAAACACTTGTGAGAAGTTTGCAATTGAAATACAATTGATCTCAGTATCACAAGCCCATGCCCTCTTCATTAGAAACCATGCAACAGAGAAACTAGGTCCAGGGGAGAAGGAAAATCATTGTTTCTTTTCCAAAAGGGATGTATTTCCCCCATTAATTAACCTGCCCATTGGTGAACTTTTCTCACGCTGTCTGAAAACAGAAAGTCACACAAATTACCCATAACAGGAGACAACTCGTGTTGTGCCAATGTGGCACAAAACCACGTAGGAACCCTGATATAAAACCCAATATCGACTAGTTGGATTTCCATAGTAAGATAAAATTACAAGGCCAATGTTGTGTCAACAGAAGATGATACAAAACATCTCAGCATCCACCAGGAAAGGAGTAAAACACAGTATAATGCGTGCAGAAATATACAGAGAGCACTTGCACTAGTATAAAAATATCCACAGTCCTCAGACAAATGTGAATCGGTACAAAATAATTTCAAGAACAGGTTTACAAAAGGACACGTTAATATAAAACAGTAAAACCAGGTTGCCCCCTCTCCCAGCCTCATGCACAGCACACACAGACAGTCCATGGAAGGCCCACAGGCGCTGGGAAGGAGCAGAGCCCATTTGACCTCCCAAGCCCATGGGTGATCTAGAAAAACAAAACCACAAAATCCAAAGGGAAAAAATCCACCCTTGGGGGATTTTAGAGCAGTTCTTTCCCCAGCAGTTCTTTCCTGATCCTTCAGGACTCAGCGTAGCAAGGAACTGGTGTGGATAAGTGGGGGGACAGCAGCAGAGGATGCCTGTGCACAGGAGGTGACAGCACAGAGGGCACGGACAGAGGCTCAGCAAGGACAGGGGGTGTAAGGACCTCAGGAAGCAGCTGATTCCAGCTCCCCCACCCATGAAATCCTTCAGCAAACAAACAAGCACTGTGGTCCCACAGATCCCCACAGTGACAGAGCCAACCCCGAGGGCCTCGGGAATGGGAACAGCTTTGGAAAGTGGGGAAAGCGGGGCTGGGAAAGGGGAGCCTGAGTTTGGGAGAAAGGGAGCTTGGCCAGGTTGGTGAGCTTTGCTTCAGATCATGCATCAGCCCTCCAGAGGACTCTCCCCCCACCCCGAACAGGTCCTGTCAGCCTGCAATGTCCACAGAGTCACTCTGCTCCTTCAGGACAACTTCCAGCTGGTCCAGCTTCAGCTCTCACATTTCAGCTCTACTCCATGCAGGCAGAGCTTCACATTTTCACCATCAGTGCAGTTTTGTGTGACACCAGCACAGGAGATGCCCAGCTGAGCCTGCAGCACACAGTGCAGGGATGGAAGAGAAGGGGGCAGAGCATCCTTAAGGCCTCCAAGGTTTTGCTGGCAGGGCCAAGCCGGGTGTTTCTGCCCCACAAACCAGTCCCTGCAGCCCCAGGACAGCAGCTGCCCTCGGGCACGGGCAGTCAGGTGCCAGCTGTCCATGCACACAGCCTGCACCACCCCTGGCTGGCACAGAGGCTCTTTTTTGGCAGCTTGAATTGGTCTCTTCCCAGCACTTGGGCTGCTTGGTCACTCTCTGAGCTCTGCAGACAGTCATAGGTTTCCATAGAAACAGAGCTTGAAAGCTTCATTAATTCTCCCCGTGGTCTTCTTCCACCCAGGCCACGATTTTCCCCTCCCAGCCAGGAATGATGTCGTCATCATGGAACACCTACCATAAAAATAAATAAATAAATAAATAAATAAATAAATAAATAAATAAATAAATAAAGTATTTCAGTCATGTCTGGGGTCTGGACACAGGGTTCTGCAGTGTGAGTGGCATCAGGGCCATGAAGTCAAATCCTACCTCTGATTTCCCAAAATAATCCAGGGAACACATGGGAATGATGGCTGAGGTACGAGCCACCTTTTCACAACTTAGGTAAATAACAGACCAGGCCTCACTAACCAATGAATATCAGGATTATTATCAGCTTGGGTTTTTTTCACATTAAAGGCAAACTAAAGACAGCAATCACGCCTTTTCTGAGCCAGAGCACGACCTCCAGCTGCTGCTGCTGCCTGTCCCCAGAGAGGGTGACCTTTTGCCCTTGCCCTAATCAATTTGTGAAGCAAGAACTGTGCCAATAACCTGAGATGAATCCAATCCACACCCACAGCAGCCTGAGCACAAGCAGGGCTGTGCTGCAGCACACAAAAGGAATGATGCCACACACACAGAGCTCTCTGAAAAACCTTCAGAGGAGAGGAAGAGATTGCATTTTTAATACAGGCTCTCCCACTGCAGTAGGGTTTATAAAACCTGCAGCCTAGATTTTTGCTGTGTCCCCTGAGCTGTGTCACAGGCTGGCTTTGCCCAAAGGGCTCTGCAACTTCCACATCCATGGAATTGCTTTTGCTGAGGATGAAATTTTAGCACTACAGGAGCTTAACCCACAGCTGGGAAAGCAGTTTTGTTTGGGGGAAACATCTGCTGTTTCATTAGTTTAAAAGCCAGGTGACCATGGTCCCCAGGGCTGTGTGGTGACTCTGATCCCAAAGCTCAGTCCCACTTTTACCTCCTCCTTCACTGTGCCAAACTCTGGGTCCAGGGCTTTGAAGTGGTACCGATGGGTTCCTTCCCGATCGATGGCTGCCTTGAAATCCTTCAGAGTCACTTCCCCTAACCTGCAAGGGAAATAAATGCAAATACAAAACACAACAACAAAGCTCAGGCACTACTGCAGATGATTTTCCCCATGAAATCCAGTTAAGGCCCAGCAAACCTGTGCTGGCTGGGAGCATTCCCAGGAAATCAGAGTGCTGGTTTTAGGGGCACAGGGGGGTTAGGAAGGCCCAGGCTCACCTCTTTGGTATGCTGACCATGAAGGGGGTGAGGGAGCGGTCGGTGAAGTACAACACTTTGGTGCAGGCACTGGTGCTCATCACGGGCGTGCTCTGAGAGTGAGGCAGCTCTGCAAGGCAGCAACTCCCTGATTATCATCCCTCATCATCGTTATCCCTCCCCATCTCCCCCTTCCAGCTGGCCAGGATGGATGGTGGTATGTGGATTTTAATTTGCCCCTTTGTGTTTCTCTCCCCAACTCCTTCCTTGTTTCCTTCTTTCCCCCAAGAGCTGAAACAGAAGAACTGAACTCCATGGTTTTAAGGCTCCTTTTAAGCAGAAAATGCTCTGGACACATGGAAATGTGGTGTTTAAAAAGGCTGCACCGTTCTGTGGCTATGAAAGGCAGTAAACACTGAGCAGGGAACACTTGTCTGTCCCCACTAGATGGTGCACAGCAGCAGGAAAGCTGGGATGACATCCGTTTTCCCAGTGATTGCCATGGTTATCTGTGCTGCAGCACTGCCCAAGAGGCTCAGCCCAGTGCTGTGATGGTTTTTTTACAGAAAACCAGCCATAAACATGTGTCCCTTCCCCTTTCAGCAGCTTGGCCTGGTGCTGTGATGATTCTTTACAGAAAACCAGCCATAAAGGTGTGTCCCTTCCCTTTGCAGCAGCTTGGCCCAGTGCTGTGATGGTTCTTTACAGAAAACCAGCCATAAATGTGTGTCCCTTCCCTTTGCAGCAGCTCAGCCCTGTGCTGTGATGGTTCTTTACAGAAAACCAGCCATAAACGTGTGTCCCTTCCCTTTGCAGCATCTCTGCTGCAGGGAGGATTCTGGAGGGGGCAGATTCCCAAGGGGATTCTACACCCCAGAACCCGAGCAGTGAATTTGGCAGTGGAAGGGCAGGATCTGCAAGGCACTCACTGGATTTGGGAGGCCAGGAGTCTCTGCACTCGTTGCTTGCTCTGCTTGCTGGCGATTTCCCCCGCACCTGGGGCACAAAGCCAAAACAAGGAGAAAACGTCACCTCCCAGCCAGAGCATGTGAGGGGCAGGAGCTGAGTGCCCTGGGGAGCCTTTACCCTCCTCTCCTGCCTCTTCTGCGTCTCCAGGCGGTGCAGGCGCTCCATGAGGCTGGAGATGCCCTGCTCCAGGCTGTCGATGGTGTGGTGCTGCGGGTCGTGGCCGCTGAAGCTGTTCCTGAGGCTGCGCAGCGCGTCCCGCACCAGCTGCAGGTCACTGGTCTGCCCAAAACAGCACAGCTGGCACCAGCCCGGGCTGCTGCCTCCCCAGCAAGGGGAAAGCTCTCTTAATGAAATAAAAGAGTTCCAGGATATCTGGCTGGGAACGCAGCCCTCAGGTGCACTTACCCCTCGGTGGGCTGTGGGAGCAGCTCCTTTTCCTGCTGGCTGGAGAAAGCCATTGCTCTGGGCACTGTGACTGCTGTAAGCCATCACCTGGGCAGGGGAAGATGTGTGAGTGTCAGGAGCTCCCCAAAAATCCCCATTTATGGACTTCAAAATGAGAGGGAATGAGAGCTTTCCACAGCAGTGATAAAACTCCCATCTTCTCCCAGATAAAGACACTCCCTAAAGTGTGCAGGGAGCTCCTGGTCACAGCACAGACCTGATTCCTCACGTAAAGGTGGAAAGATTCAATGCCAGGGTCAGCAGGAAAAGGAGGAAGTAAATTGAGCAGTGGTCTAACCCTTGCCGGGGCCAGAGGTGAAGCTGGAAGCTGAGAAAGCCTCTGGCTTTCATCTCTGGGAATTCTGAGCCAAGAGGCTGAGCCAGAGTGCTCCATGCTGGGGGCTTTGCCTGCCTTGGTCAGGGCTCTGACAGGGAGAAGCAGAGCCAGACCTCTCTGGGATGAAGGGGAGGGTTCTGGAGACAGGGTGCAGGGCAAACACCACCCCAGGTGTGGAGCAAGGTCCTGTACCTCCTCAGCCTCTCTCTTCATGCAGTGAGCCAGCAGGGCCTCCCTGTGCTCCAGCTCCCGCTCCAAGTCCACCTGTGGAGGGGCAGCAGAGCAGTCACCACCAACTGGGCCAGCCAGGGCAGCTCCCAGTGCAGCCCAGCTCTCCCTACCTGCTGGTAGCTGGCCTCAGAAAGCTGCCTGAGCATCTCATCCAGCTTGGTCTGGTGCTGCTGCAAGTGCCGATCCTTCTGGCACAGCTCCTTCTGCAACACACGGAGCCGGGGAATCAGCAGGGCAGGGAGGGAGGCTCAGACATCTTCCCTGTCATCTGCCAGGATCAGGTGGCTTGCACAGGGTGTGCTTTGCAGATGTTAGAGCTGAGTGTCAGAGTTTTTTGTTTTGTTTTGTTGTTTTTTTTTTTTGGACGAGATCAATCAGGTTTTTATTGCCCAAAGTTCCCTTGGCCAAAGATCCGCTGCTGAGGTCACAGAGCTGTCCCAGAGAACACAGATTCACAAGGGATCAAAGGACAAACAGGTCACCCACCCTCATCTGCACAAGTGCTAGACACTCAGCAGCCACCACCAAAAACCACGACAATAAAAGATCTGCAAGAAACTGTGAGGTGAATGCGAAGAACTTCTGATCCCTCCACCTCACTACAAACACCCCTGGCTCCCACAGCTCCTTCCTGGGGCTGTCCAAGTGCCAGGGAAAGAGAACCCCATTCCCAGAACTGAAGAACCACCCAAACCCCCATGGAAGAGGTTCCATTACTTTGTATTCCGCCAGGAGCCGGTTTCTCTCTTCCACCTTCCTCTGGAGGTCAACCTGCAGGAATAAGAGCCAACTGTGGGGCAGATATTCCCAGAGAGTGAGAACCTCTGCTCCTTGTGCTAAAGGGCAAGCAGAAACCTACAGAGATCAAGGGAGCTGCTGTTTAGGGTGGAAACCTTTGGACAGAGACCTGCACAGGGCAGGTGCCACCTGCTAAGGGAGGGAGAGAGGAGGAACAAATGCAACAGCACTGAAAACATCAGGGAAAGCCTCTCCCTGTCCCAGCTGAAGGTCCTGGAGGACAGGAAGCGGGAGTGAAGGTCAGGAACCTCCAGCCTCACAGCTGGCCAGCAGGCTGTGAGCAGCCTGTGCTGTGCAGAGACTTCTGGCTGCTTGTTCACTATCCCACGAGCCCAAAATCTCTGCTGCAGCCACCCCTGGGGCCACCAACCCCCCGCCAAAGTGACCTCAGCACCAGCACCAGCACCAGCACCAGCAGCAGCAACTCACATTCTGGTTGTGCAGCTCCTCCTTGTCCATGTTGGCTCTCAGCAGCTCCTGCTTGAGCTGCAGGACTGCGGCATCCTGCTGGAGCAGCCTCTGCTGCAGAGCGTCCTGGGGAGAGGTGATGGCTGCAGGAGGGCAGGAGGGCAGTGCCCCTTCCCTGGGGCTCAGTGCCCAGAACACGCTGTGGCCACTCAGGCTGAGGTGCTGCCAGGGCCCCCAGAGGGCTCTCAGCCCTCCTGCCTCTCCTTTATCTAAAACTGATTTCCCTGCCAACGTTTTGGCCACCAGCACAGAGGGATTTCTCTGCTTCAGCCTAAATTTCCTGCTCCAGAAGTGATGGACATTGGCTCTGATGGACGGGAGCAGCTCTGGAGGGCATTCAGCCCTGCAGCTCCTGCTCCAGCCACTCATCCAGAGGGCACAGAGAGGCCAAGATCAGCCCAGGACACCAGGAGCCTTAAGCCCTGAGTGTGACCCAGTTGTGCAGGGCAATCCTCTCTGGACAGGCCAAAGTCAGCACTAATTCTGCGCCTTTCACTCACCCAGAGCTCCACCTTGGACAGCTACTGCTGTTTGCTGCCTTCTGACAGGCAGCTCTAAAAATACCTCTGTCAGGAGGAGATTGGCAGTGTTCAGCACTGCAGAGGCACAAACTGAGCCTTTCTGGGCAGGACAGGGACACCCCAGGCTCTTTTTCCTGTGCTGGCAGGAATGAGTTCACTGGGCCAATGCTTCTGAGTGTGTACTCCGAGAGAGAGGAGGGAATAAAAGAGCCAGCCAACCAATTTATGCCTCTTTTTCTTTAGGAGAAACAGGGGGAAATGAAGAAAAAGGGGAATACTTGACCACAATCTCACAGACAGAGCAGAAAACTGGAAACCCAGCTCCTTACACCTGCCTAAAAATTCAGAAATAAACCACAGGATCCCCCACCTCCAAGCCCCCAGTACTCCTCCTTCCACAATCTGAGATTCCTCAGAGGTGTGTGGCTGCTGCTGGCCCTACTCACCTAAAGCACTACTATTCATTTTTTTATTAAATATTAAATGTCCCTTTCCTCACCTTTATTCCCTGCAGGTTCCGAGCTTCTTGTTTGTATTTCAGCAGCTCCTTCTGCAAATGCAAGGCAATTTGGTTAAACAGCATTTTGTCACCCCTTCAGAACCAACCAGAGCTGGTGTTTTCTGCTGCAGGAGGAAGCACATCCCACCTTTCCCACAGCTCCAAGAGCCTGAGAAATTTTAGTGAGTTACAAACACCACAAAGAGCTGAGCTCTTAAGCTCTGTTATTAAAGTCCTGAGGAAAATAAAGATTGCCCACTCCCCTAAATCTGTCTTTCAGGCCAACATCAAACACTTCTGCCAGCATCAGAACTGATCCCAAGCCTCCAGACTTGGAGCCCTGATAGAATATTCCCCATTTCATCCATCATGTTGCCCACCCTGCCTCATCCCCACCCTGTTTTCCCCTAAAAAATCAATCTGCAAAACCTCTCTTTCCCCTCTGACCTTCAGATCTTGATTTTCTTCCACACTCTGGTCCAGACGGCTTCGGATGATGATCTGAATGCAAAATATCAGCGTTGTTATTGTGCAGCAGGGGCAGGGCAGAGCAAAAGGGAAATTTGGGTCTGGGGGTGTTCTCACCAGCTGCTCCTCAGGGCAGGCTCCACGCTCAGAAAGCTCAAAGGAGCCTTCCTGCTCATCCTCAGGTAGAGACCCATTGAGCAACAAAGCCTGGGGAGATAAAGGGGAAAAAAAACCAAAAAAATCTCCTTTTCAGAGATTTCAAAGGGAAATGGGTGAGCTGCAGCTCTGGCCAGCAGTCACTCCTATCAACAGTCCCTAACCAGCTTCATTTCCCATTTCTGCTGATTTATTCCCCTCAGAAATGAGGGGTTTTCTTCAGGAATGAACAAGAAGATTTATCCCCTGACAAAGCTCTCCCAGGGGTCTGTCAGGCCATGCTCTTCCCTACAGAAAGAACCAAACAAGGACAACTCAGACTTCCAGGGAGTGAAGTCTCAGCTTTAGCACCTTCTAGGGTGTGTGTGCATCAGACCCCCAATATTTCCACCAAATTGTCACAATCTGGAGCTTCTCAATTACTGAGTAAGAGGAGGAAAATCGATGAATTAAATCCAATTTCCTGGCTGGTCACATCAGCTGCCTCTCCCCACTCCCAGGGGAGGAGGGGGCAGCAGTGCCAGTCCCTCCTGTCCCTGCTCCCAGTGGGCACAAAATGCAGGGATTTTACCACTGAACCAAGGAATTTTTTTCTTTTTTGGTGACTCTTTTGTGTCCTGCCCATTGTCCCCGGGGAAAGCGCCTGCCCAGCTGCCTGTGCTCCTCACACAATCTCTGCTTTGTTTACTGCCACATAAATATTTACAATTCAAAGCCACTGTGGTTCCCAGCACAAACAGAAAGGGATGTTCCTGAGAGAGTTCAGTGCCTTCACCATATGGATCAAGGGGCTCCACACACCGGGCTGAGGGAGGGGAAGAGAGGGAAAAGCCCCACAAATTAAGAATTGTGGGGAGAATGTGCCAAATATGAAGGTTCAGCCAAGCTCGTGGAAGGACTGATGCAGGGCTGGGTGAGCCTGCAAGGGAACACCCTCTGAGGAGAGAAATCTCTCACCTGCAAACCAGAAATCATCTTTTTTGCCTCCTCCATTTCCTTTTCCAGGTGGTCCTGCTGTTCCAGGAGCTGCTCCTCCCATGAGTTCTCCAAGTAGGACCCGGAGCTCCCTGCCTGCCACTCAGGCTGGAAGTGAGAGTCGGCCTCTTCTGCAAGAGAGAGGAGCTGCCTGTTGCCCTGATTTTTAAAAGTGTTAGGTTTTCTTTTCTAGTTCTTCTGAAAGTTTTAAAGTTCTCATAAAACCTTCTGATAATGTTTACATATTTGAGAGTCAGAGTTCCCCCACAATCTCATGTATAAATAGAACAGTTTACATAGTTCTCTGCAGGTGGAGAGAAATGATTGATTGATCTTTGGAGTGTGGTTAGAGAGGTGCTAATTCCATCCTCCAGTCCACAGTCACCTTTAGAATTATATAAATACCAGATGTTTAAATAAAACTGGGTATTTTTCTCTTTTAAACTCACCAATATTCTGTATTTTGTGTCCAATAATGCCCAGCAGGGCCCTGCTCCCCTCCCCAGCACCAAGGGGTGGCAGCTCATCTGACCCCAGGGATTTATGCCTCATTCCCGAGGCAATCCAAGCTTTCCCACACAGATTTTATCCCAGGTAACTTCCCACGGGCTCAGGGAGATCTCCAAGCACAGCAGGGTGTGTGACAGAGGGGGAAAAGCACCCGTGGGCTTTGCAGAGCATCCCTCAGTGCCCCAAGGACACCCTGGAGGGAGCAGAGAACCACTCCAGTCCCTGGGGAGCCTCCCAGCTTTTATCACACAGAACAGTGCAGGTTTTACCTGCTTTGGGCTCTGCTTCTTCAGTCTGGAGGATCACAAGTCTCTCCTTCTCCTCCAAGGGGGCTACAGTGGATTCACTCTTTGCACTGTGGACAGGGCTGGGGGAAGTCAGGCTGCAGAGCAAGGCAGGAACAGCTCTTTAGATGAAAATGATGTTGATCAGCACTAATTTTGAACAAGCTTTTCTCTATATTCACTTTTATCCAAGAATTATCTGCATCCCAGAAAAACCCTTCCACAACCCAGCCTGAACATGTAATTTTTTTGAATTCAGGCTCTCACACAGGGGTAGGACCAAACTCAGGAGTAATTTACTGCCAGCCTTATGCTGGACAAAAAGCCACCCTGGCTTCATCTCTTGCTCCAGAGCTTTCAGATGAATAATTTCAACTTTAAATCCCAATATATTTGAGAGTCAGATTCCACTCTCTCATGTTCTTTGATTAAAACTTCTTGGAAGTGCCCACATATTTTCACAGGAGCCATCTCAGCTGACTGGGAGGGTCAAGCAATTTTTTTTCTCAGAAATTCTTCCTGAGTGCATCTCCCAGACAACATCAAAAGGTGGCTGAAGCTCAGTGACCCATTCAATGTACCCCGAAAGTCGCAGGAATTAATCCTTGCAAGTGTGAGCAGGAGTTAATTTTTCATTCTCCCCCAACACAGAAACAAAGGGCAGGGAACAAAAAGAAGAACAGTGTGGAAATAATATAATAGGTTTAGAAAAAGAAGAGGCTTCAGCAGCTCCCTCCCTGCATCTTCCCAACACTGCTGCTGTGTCTCCCACAGCTCCCACAGAATGGGAAAAGCCCTGCAATAGAGATGGAAATGACTCGCTGCTCCTGCCTGCCCCACTCCCACGGCCAGGACCAGCCTCTCCTCATTTTGTGGTCCAAGCTTCCCCTGTGTTACAGTGAAAGAATGATCTTTGTGCAATAGAAATGTCCCACAGGGACAGTACCTGTCCTTTCAGGTGTGCCCATGATGCTTCAACAGCTCCCAGCCACCTGGCTTTCCTCCAGGATTTACCTCCAGGAATTCCAAATCCCTCATTAGACATATTTTTAATATCAGATTTGTAACCAGCCCCTGCTCCTGCTCATTGCTGAATGGGGGCACGACATAAAATTATGGGTTTTTTTTGGTTTTACTAAATGCTCTTTATTACTTGATTTGGCAGTTCTGCTGGGACTGCATTTTGTGAGAAGGGCCAGAAGAAAGGACGAAACTTTCACACAACACAGATGGCAGCAGGAAGCCCAGCTGGTCTGACATGGGCAGCAGCTCCAGGAGGGATTTCGCTTCCTTCTAGGAACAGATCTCAGAATTCCCTTCCTCCCATCCTCAGCTGATGCTCTGAACCTGCCCTCACCCCGAGGCACTGCTGGTTCTCATCCCTGCAAAAGCTGTCCCAGAAAAACACCAGCAGGCACAGATGGGAGAGAAGGTGGTGAGACAGGGGAAGCAAAAAGGATGAGCAGGATGAAAAACAAGGAAATAACATTCCAAATCCACTTCTCCCAGCATTGGATCCGCAAAGCCAATAAAAGGCAGCACAGGTGGGGATAGGTCCCCACAGCACAGACAGCTTTACATTTCCTGAGGCATTCCCACGTCCCCAGACCCTTTCCAGGCTGTTTTCCTACTTCAAAAAGCCACTGGGATCAGCCAGCACCCACAACCAGCTCCCAGACACTGCAAACAGTGGCAGAGGCAGCTGAAGCAGCAGCACAGGTCAGGCTGCTTTCTGCATCCCCCAATTAATGCTGGAAACACTCGCCCAGATTCTGTATCAGCCCAGGCCACCAGAGCACCAAACACCCGCTGATGCAATGCCTGTAAAAGTGCAGAACAATTCCCTATTAAAGCATGCAGAAACGAGGGCTGGGAAATGAAAGCTTTCCAAGAGAGATTTATGATGCAAACTGCTCCACTTTATTCCTTTCACTGCTTGGTTCCTTAACCCACATCCATCTCCCCCGAGCCCCAGATCCGCCAGCACGGCCGAGGGCGACGAACTCAGGGCAAAAATTCCGGGCGAGGAACCCCCAAATTGTGACAACCCCCATCCCTGCTGCTCCCGAGGCACACATCGCTCACCATTTGACCTGCTTCCCTCCCATGGTCCCAGCTGAACCTGTGGCCTCACAGAATCCGCAGGATCCCGGCTCTGCTCATCCCTCCTTCCCTTCTTCTCACGCTCCCAACTCCTGCGGGAATGAATCTCTGCGAGTGCCGAGCAGATTCCAGCAGGAACAACACACGCACACGAATTATCCAGCTCGGGGGCTCTGCAAACCCGCAGCCCCTGAGAAGGGTTTTAATTCCAGAGCCAGGGAATTCTGCAGCCTGCCTTTGGCTCCTGCTGCTTTTCCTCGCGGGTTATTCGCCTCCCGCTGCTGCATTTTGCTCAGCTGCACGGCTGCCTGTTTTCATCTCCGGGCTCCGGGCTGGCCGGGGCTGTTCCTCATCCCATCCCGCCCTCCTTGTGCTGCCGAGCATCCGAGGGGGAAGGAAGGAGCCGCTGCCGGAGCGGGGTCCCTGCGCTGCCGGGGGGATGCAGCCTCTGCCCAGGCTGATCTCCCAGATTCCAGAGGGATGCAGCCTCTGCCCAGGCTGATCTCCCACCTTCAGAGGGATGCAGGCTCTGCCCAGGCTGCTCTCTCAGATTCCAGAGGGATTCAGGCTCTGCCCAGGCTGATCTCCCAGATTCCAGAGGGATGCAGCCTCTGCCCAGGCTGATCTCCCAGTTCCAGAGGGATGCAGGCTCTCCCACCTTCAGAGGGATGCAGCCTCTGCCCAGGCTGATCTCCCAGTTCCAGAGGGATGCAGGCTCTCCCACCTTCAGAGGGATGCAGGCTCTGCCCAGGCTGATCTCTCAGATTCCAGATGGATGCAGCCTCTGTCCAGGCTGATCTTCCAGTTCCAGAGGGATGCAGCCTCTGCCCAGGCTGCTCTGCCACCTTTCAGAGGGATGCAGGCTCTGCCCAGGCTGCTCTCCCAGTTCCAGAGGGATGCAGGCTCTGCCCAGGCTGCTCTCCCAGTTCCAGAGGGATGCAGGCTCTGCCCAGGCTGATCTCCCAGATTCCAGAGGGATGCAGGCTCTGCCCAGGCTGCTCTCTCAGATTCCAGAGGGATGCAGGCTCTGCCCAGGCTGCTCTCCCAGTTCCAGAGGGATGCAGGCTCTGCCCAGGCTGCTCTCCCAGATTCCAGAGGGATTCAGGCTCTGCCCAGGCTGATCTCAGATTCCAGAGGGATGCAGGCTCTGCCCAGGCTGCTCTCTCAGATTCCAGAGGGATGCAGGCTCTGCCCAGGCTGCTCTCCCAGATTCCAGAGGGATGCAGGCTCTGCCCAGGCTGATCTCAGATTCCAGAGGGATGCAGGATCTCTCAGATTCCAGAGGGATGCAGGCTCTGCCCAGGCTCTGCCAGCCCCAGGCACGGCTCCTCTCCCTCCTGCTGTCACACGGGCTGTGCAGGCACAGCCTTTCTCGAGATGCCTGGCTCAGAGTGGGGGAGGGAATGCTGCTGGAAGGGGAGGGGAAATGGAGAGGGATGGGTGAGGGGCTCGGCAGACTGGGAATCATCTGATTTTTGGCAGATTTTTCCACAAATCCTTTCGGCAGCCTGCACTCTTTGGTGCTGCCGTCCTTGGGAATTGGGAGAGCTCAGAGAGGAGATGCTGCCCTGGGACACCTCAGCAGCAGGGCTGGCTGGAGGGGGGTTGCTGCACTCGATAATATCTCTCAGCAATAAAAAAAAAATCTCATTTCTCTCAGCCAGTTCTCCTAACTGAGCTAAGCACATTCCTCCCCGCGAGGAAAGGGAAAGCGTCCTGTTTTCATCATGCACTATTGTGTCAGCACAGACACCCCCAGCAGCTGGAGGGGAAGAATTCTGCCAGTTTTGGATCACTTTTGGAAAGATTCTCTCTGCGTTCTGCCCTATCAGCAATAACATCACCATTGCATTGTGGGCAGAGAATTCACGACATTAAATGAGGAAAAATAAAACAGAAAGGCAGGATGCTTAGAGAGATTTTTGTTTACCACCAAAATACCAAAACACAGAAACAGCAGCCACCTGACAGGGTAGAGGAATACATCAAATATTCCATCTCCCTTAAACGGAGGGATGAGAGCAGGCAGCAGAATGTGGCACTCCTGAGCTCCCGGCTCAAGAGGCAGTGCCAAGGTTCTGTGGCTTTATCCGTGCTGCCAAGAGCAGGATTTTTACATCCCCCCTGGCAGGCTGGACTGAAAAGCACACTGCTGACATCATGTGGAGGCACTGCTCCAGCACTGCCTCCCTGGAGCCCCACACTCCTCCCAAAATCTATTTATAAACACTCCCTCAATGACACGCGGCAGAATTGGGGGATAAACACAAACTCTTGTGTTTTTCTCCTCTGTCGGGCAAAGCAACCTTAATTTTCAGGTACGCAGAGAATTATTTGGTGCTGTGGAGCGTAAAAATTGGCCTGAGAAACGCCGGGGAAACGTCCTGCCTGCTGAGAGGCTGTCAGTGGCAATCTGTCCTTGGCAAATGAGCTCCTCACTCCCACAGCGACGGGAGGGAGGCACTGGGGAACGGCCCAGGCAGGGGAAGGACACGGAAAAATCAGATTTGGGGCTTCCAGTGGCCGTGGGAGACCCTGGAGCAAAGAGCTGCAGCTCGCCACGAGCAGCCCTGCCCTGGGATCTGCTCCAGGGGAATTTAACTGGAGCACAGCACCATTCCCAGAGGGAGCTCCACTTGTTCAGTAACTCACTTCTTGGTTCTCTGGGGGGAAAGGGAGAGGCTTCCCTGTCACCCTGATTTTTAAGTTTTTCTAAAGCCTTCTGAGTTTACATTCTGTTGGAAAACTTTCCCACACCATTTCTGTAAATAACATATTGTTTTACATTCCTTCATGGGGGTAGAGAAATTTGATGCACTAGTGGTTTGTCCAATGTCTTTGGAGAGGTGGCCCAGTCACTCTCCAATCCACTGTCACCTTGAGAAAAGTATAAAAGTTGGAGTCAGAAAATAAACTTCCTCTTTTACCTTGCAAAATAGCAAGTGGCTCGTGTTGTGCTTTCTCATGTCCTATAGCAACACTTCCCTTTACTACAGAGCTCTCCATGCTGGATCAGCTCCCTCACTGGGATAATTTTTCTTCAAAAGCCCTTTTTTTTGGCTGCATTTTCTCTCCTATATCCATGAAAACAGCAGAAAACTGCTTCATGTTGATTCCTGAGGTTTCACCCTCCAGACAGGCCCTTTTCCATCAGAACTGAGCGGATTTTGGTGAGGAGAACAGACAGAGGGGACACTTTGGCAATAAAATTCCTCACCTGGCGGGGTGGGACTCCAGTGGCACGTTCTGCTGGCCCTCGTACTGCTGCACCAGGGCCCGCACGCTCCAGTAGGGATTCTCAATCTCCTCGTCCATGCTGCTGTTCCTGGGGGTGACAACCACAAAATGAGGGGAGCCTCACCTGAGTGCCGCTGGAATTCTTCTCCCTCCAAAAAGGAGGGGAGGAGAGCTGAGGAAAAGGAGGTAAGGAAGAGGAGACAGCCGGAAAAATGTCAATTTTCCTATCAGGGATCCTCATCTTCTTGGTGTTAAGGGAAAACAGGCAAACAGGCCTTGTTGTTTCAAACTCATCCCTAATTCTGTGACTACAAAATTCCAAAAGCTCTGGAATGCAAGGAAGAATCACAAGGACTGGCTTTCCTGAAGAACTCCAAGGCCTTTGCAAGGGAAACCTTTAACATTTTGTTTTATAACGCAAGTTACCATTTCAGCCTCCTCTCCAGACTGCTTCATGGGTGCTCCCTCCAGCCAGGATCAAATGGGCAAGTGACCTTCAGCCGTGCAAATGAAACCCTGCACAGCCCCAGCACCTGGCTCCAGCTAAATGTCATTGCTATTATTGTTATTGTCACCCACACAGCACCTTTGGCAAGGGGCAAATGGGATTTTCAGATTTATTCCCAGTGTGTGGATTTTCAGAATTATTCCCAGTGTGTGTGTATTTTCACAATTATTCCCTCTGTGTGTGTATTTTCACAATTATTCCCTTTGTGTGTGTATTTTCACAATTATTCCCTTTGTGTGTGGATTTTCAGAATTATTCCCTCTGTGTGTGGATTTTCACAATTATTCCCTCTGTGTGTGTGGATTTTCAGAATTATTCCCTCTGTGTGTGTATTTTCGGAATTATTCCCAGTGTGTGTGTATTTTCAAAATTATTCCCTCTGTGTGTGGATTTTCAGAATTATTCCCTGTGTGTGTGGATTTTCAGAATTATTCCCTCTGTGTGTGGATTTTCAGAATTATTCCCAGTGTGTGTGTATTTTCGGAATTACTCCCTCTGTGTGTGTATTTTCACAATTATTCCCTGTGTGTGTGTATTTTCAGAATTATTCCCTTTGTGTGTGTGGATTTTCAGAATTATTTCCTGTGTGTGTGGATTTTCAGCATCCCCAGGACTCAGCAGCCACCTGGAGCAGTGGGATGAGCGATGGAGGAGCCAGAAAGGACTTGTCCAACATCCTCAGCTCTGGCAATAAATCTGCAGCTCTCCGGGGTGAAACCTGGTGAGAACATCTCCAAGGAGACAGCACCGAGGGCAGCGTGGGGAGAAGGAGCAGCACGGTCCCTCTGCCTGGGCTGTGACTCCCTGTTCTGTTCCAGGGAGATAAAGAGAGACCCAGCTGCTGTTTTGCTGTAAAAACTGAGAGTAACTGGGCTGGCAGCAGAGCCAGGGCACTGCCCCCTCTGCCAGGGCACTGCCCCCTCTGCCAGGGCACTCTCAGGTGGTTCTGACAACAGAAGGTGTGGGACTCAGATTCAGTTAAAGAATGACACTGAGAGTTTCTAGCTAGGCAAAAAGCCTGGGAAAGATCTGGAGAAGAATGTAAATAATTCTTTATCTCTCTTGTTGTTCACATTGTTTATAGTTAAGTTCTATCACTGTGCATCAAGCACTTTGCACCAATGCTGTGAGTTGTTTTCACTTCAGGACCAGTGGAGTTGGTCCTCATGAAGCTCTGTATAAAAGAGCGGTGTATTTTAAATTCAGAACCAATGGAGCTGGTCCTCACAAAGCTCTGTATAAAAGAGCGGTGTATTTTAAATAAATCAGAATTTTACTCTCACAACCTTCTAATCTAATCAGAGTCTCTTCATTCCCGTCCTACCTCAACAGCAACAAGAAGGAATAAATCCCTTCCTCCCACCAGGAATAAATAAACAAAGATACATTTATTTTCATTTTTTTTTCCGAATTTGAACCCAACCCAGGCTGGCATAAGCAGGGAAGAGCCCCTCACCTCTGTCTGTGCCTGAACAGGTCCCGGCCGGACTGCTGGACGTCCTGCCGGACATCGGCCAGCGCGGCCACCGCCCCTTGGGCCACGGCGGCGGCCGAGCGCGGCCGGACGCTGCCCGGGGCCGCTGCCCGGCTCCTGCCCCCCGAGCCCGGCGTGCCAGCTCTGCCAGAGCCTGGCTTGAAGTGAGCAGCCAAGGCCAGGATCAGCCTCATGGTGGATTTCAAGTTGCCCTCGACGATATCTGCAAAATGCAAATGTTTGGGTGGTTAGTGTGGAGTGCCAGCAGAGCTGTGGCTGCACAGCAAGGTGAAGATAATTAAAGGCAGAGGGGCTGATCCAGCACAGCCCTGAGACTCCCTTTATGGCCATTTCCAGCATTAATTACTGAACACATCATTACTGAGGGCTCACTCCGAAGCAGAGCAGTTACTGAGGACTGTCACTGACTTTGTTAGCAGAGAATTCCATTTTTTTAAAACACAAAAAGCAGAACAGCAATGCATGTCTCCAGTGCTGTGCCATCAGCTGTTTGCAGCACCCTGCAAATATAAATTAATCATACTCAGTGATATCACACTGCATTTTCCAGCACACTGATGTCATGGCAAAGATCAGCCACTATTCCAGACCAAGATTTCCCAAAACAATTTAGTCAGAGCTGCTCAAAGCCCTGACTAAACCACGCCACAGACATGTGATTGTGCGTTGTGTCTCCACTCTCTTTCCAGCCCATGGCTTCCAGTGAACCACAAATATTTTTTCCATGTCTCCTTTCACCCTAGCAGGTTTATGTGTCCTTTTGGTGAAAGATTCCAAGCCTGTATTTTTCATTACACCACTACCTGGGCCTCTCAGTACTCAGCAGCAGGAAAAAAAGTCACTTTTTTTTCCTCTGCATTGTCCACCTTTCAACCCAAAACTTTCTCTAAACAAGAGGGGGCAAAACCCCCAACTCCTCCAGAAAATGGCAGATTAATTTACTCATAATTCACCTGTTTTATAATAAAAAAAGGCAGAAAGAGGATTTCAGCAGCTAAAATCCCCCCCAGGGCCACGCACCTTTAGCTGACGTCTGGTGCATGCGGATCTTTCTCGATGCCACGAACTGTAAGACTTTCTCCACGTTCTCCCTCATCTCCTGCTGGCTGCTGGGGTTGAGCTCGATGCCACTGAGCTTCTCACCAGCTGGAGGGAGAGAAAAAGCTTTATCAGAGGGAGCTGAACCTCTGGGCACTGCCAGGGGATCGCTGGCGCTGCTCTGATCTCATGGCTGGGTGCTGCAGGGGGCTTCTGGTCCTGCTCAACTGGAACCAGGACCAGGAGAAACTGGTCCTGCTTAACTGGAACCAGGACCAACTTAACTGGAACCAGGACCAGCTTAACTGGAACCAGCACCAGGAGAAACTGGAACCAGCACCAAGAGTAACTGGTCCTGCTTAAACTGGAACCAGCATCAGGAGAAACTGGAACCAGCACCAGGAGAAACTGGAACCAGCACCAGCAGCAACTGGTCATGCTTAACAGGAACCAGCACCAGGAGTAACTGGTCCTGCTTAAACTGGAACCAGCACCAGGAGAAACTGGAACCAGCACCAGGAGAAACTAGTCCTGCTTAAACTGGAACCAGCACCAGGAATAACTGGTCCTGCTTAACTGGAACCAGCACCAGGAGAAACTGGTCCTGCTTAACAGGAACCAGCACCAGGAGAAACTGGTCCTGCTTGGACTGGAACCAGCACCAGGAGAAACTGGAACCAGCACCAGGAGAAACTGGTCCTGCTTAACAGGAACCAGGACCAGCTTAACTGGAACCAGCACCAGGAGTAACTGGTCCTGTTTAACTGGAACCAGCACCAGGAGTGACTGGGTTTGGGGCTGTTTTGGGATGATGGAGAGGTTCTGGGGGGCTGGAGCAGGATTCTGGCAGGACTTGTTGCCCCCTGAGGGACCCATGCTCTTCCCAAAGGACTGAGCTCCATGGAAAGGGCTGAGCTGGTGAAGAACTGGGGCACGTGGGACAGACCCACCTGGGAGGGTTTGAGACCTGTCCCCCACTGGGACTGAGGAGGAAGGAGCAGAGAGGGCAATGCACTCACTACACCCCCATTCCCTGTCCCCCTGCCCTGTGACACCAGCAGACAGGGTCACTCTTCCCAAAAAACACCCCCCAACTCCATGTGGGAGTTCCCAGTGCCCCTGCCAGCGTTCCCCATCTGCTCTAACTGCCTCTGCACCATAAGGGCTGTAATAAAATTGCATTTATGATCTGATTCATGATTGTTTGCCACCCCCCAGCAACATCTGCCCGACAGATGCCAGAGCTGAGGGGGAAAAACAGGGCCAGATGGCAGCACTGACCTACAATCTCGATCAGCAGGGCGAGAGTGACCCCATCCCGCAGGTCCTGCCTCAGGTCCTGCACCGGCCTCACCGCTGGCTTCTTCTTCAGCTGGGAATTCACCCAGGCCACA